CATTACTGCTGCAATGTTAGAACTCTATTTTTCTACTTTTAACTTAATTTTTATTTTATTAAGTAATAATTTATATGATTTAAATTTACTAAATTATCCTTCATTAAATTATGATTCTTTAGATTTTATAGATCTTAATTTGATCAATTAAATCATTTGTAATCTCTTACATAAGAATCATTCGGCGGAACTCTATTTTCACCCAATTTACATTCGTTGGGTGATGACATCATTTTGACGTCTAGACCCTTACTTTTCTTTTTCAGAAATTTTAAATATATTTTATTTTAATTTCTTATCTAAAATTTATAAAAAATCTTATTCTTTGAGTGAAATTTTAAAAAATTACTTGATATTATATTACATCTCTATCATTGACTTAAAAATTTTGTCACAATTTTTAGAACTTGTATTGAATTATAATTGATATATTTTTTCAGAAATACTTCTAAATATCTGAAAATTAGTATTTTCTAGTTTTACAAATTTTAAATTTGCATGATTTGCTATAAAATGACTAAGTCACGTCAAATTTTGGGGCTGCTACTGGGGATGTATTACATAATATTTAGCATTTTTCTATTTTTTTCTTAGAGTACACAAAAGATTGGTGTACACAATCTTTTTTCTTAGAGTAAATTTTTAGAACACAATTTTTAGAGTACACAATTTTTAGAACTTGTATTGAATTATAATTGATATATTTTTTCAGAAATACTTCTAAATATCTGAAAATTAGTATTTTCTAGTTTTACAAATTTTAAATTTGCGTGATTTGCTATAAAATGACTAAGTCACGTCAAATTTTGGGGCTGCTACTGGGGATGTATTACATAATATTTAGCATTTTTCTATTTTTTTCTTAGAGTACACAAAAGATTGGTGTACACAATCTTTTTTCTTAGAGTAAATTTTTAGAACACAATTTTTAGAGTACACAAATTTTAGAACTTGTATTGGATTATAATTGATATATTTTTTCAGAAATACTTCTAAATATCAGAAAATTAGTATTTTCTAGTTTTACAAATTTTAAATTTGCGTGATTTGCTATAAAATGACTAAGTCACGTCAAATTTTGGGGCTGCTACTGGGGATGTATTACATAATATTTAGCATTTTTCTATTTTTTTCTTAGAGTACACAAAAGATTGGTGTACACAATCTTTTTTCTTAGAGTAAATTTTTAGAACACAATTTTTAGAGTACACAATTTTTAGAACTTGTATTGAATTATAATTGATATATTTATTCAAAAATACTTCTAAATATCTGAAAATTAGTATTTTCTAGTTTTACAAATTTTAAATTTGCGTGATTTGCTATAAAATGACTAAGTCACGTCAAATTTTGGGGCTGCTACTGGGGATGTATTACATAATATTTAGCATTTTTCTATTTTTTTCTTAGAGTACACAAAAGATTGGTGTACACAATCTTTTTTCTTAGAGTAAATTTTTAGAACACAATTTTTAGAGTACACAAATTTTAGAACTTGTATTGGATTATAATTGATATATTTTTTCAGAAATACTTCTAAATATCAGAAAATTAGTATTTTCTAGTTTTACAAATTTTAAATTTGCGTGATTTGCTATAAAATGACTAAGTCACGTCAAATTTTGGGGCTGCTACTGGGGATGTATTACATAATATTTAGCATTTTTCTATTTTTTTCTTAGAGTACACAAAAGATTGGTGTACACAATCTTTTTTCTTAGAGTAAATTTTTAGAACACAATTTTTAGAGTACACAATTTTTAGAACTTGTATTGAATTATAATTGATATATTTTTTCAGAAATACTTCTAAATATCTGAAAATTAGTATTTTCTAGTTTTACAAATTTTAAATTTGCGTGATTTGCTATAAAATGACTAAGTCACGTCAAATTTTGGGGCTGCTACTGGGGATGTATTACATAATATTTAGCATTTTTCTATTTGTTTCTTAGAGTACACAAAAGATTGGTGTACACAATCTTTTTTCTTAGAGTAAATTTTTAGAACACAATTTTTAGAGTACACAATTTTTAGAACTTGTATTGAATTATAATTGATATATTTATTCAAAAATACTTCTAAATATCTGAAAATTAGTATTTTCTAGTTTTACAAATTTTAAATTTGCGTGATTTGCTATAAAATGACTAAGTCACGTCAAATTTTGGGGCTGCTACTGGGGATGTATTACATAATATTTAGCATTTTTCTATTTTTTTCTTAGAGTACACAAAATATTTTTCTATCACAAATTAGTATTTTTTTAGAACTCGTGTTTTATTTTCTTCTTAAAGAAAAAATGGAAAAAAAAGGAAACGAAATGTAGCAAGGCAAGGATTGGAGCGTACTGAAGGAGGGTGATTAAGAACATGTGTTTGCATTTTTTCATGCTCACATAGAATAATAACTAAAAAACTAAATCGGAAAAACTACAACATCTATTTTCTAGTTTTCTATTAGGAACAATAGACTGTCAAAAATAGTCCAAAATTTTAAATTCTAGAGACCCTTTTCTCACATTTCAATCCTCTAGACATATATTACTGAAATTCAAAATTACAACTATAAAGAAGATAGTTTTGATTTATTTTTGACAAATTAATTATTGCTAAAAACAAAACTGAAAATAGAAAGTAGAATTGTCAAAAGTATCTAATTTAAAAATTTCTTACATCATATTACATGCACTAAAAATTAAATCAATTAAATTGATTGATACCAAAAGATACTAGGAAGATTATTATTGAGTTAAAAGAATGATTTAGTGGCATGAAATGCTGGAATACTCCTTGGATACATGATAGATAACATGAATTTGATTTTACATATTTTCACTTCATGATCTTCATGATTTAGTAGCTGTGTGGTTCGACTTTTTCTGTACTTTCACTTAGATTCAAAAAATTTCTCTAGGATTTCTATAATTTGGTTGATGTGGCCCTAGACACTGTCTTCCTTCCTAAATGCGTTGAGGATTTTCAAATATTTCAATAGGAGGGATGGCATTATGAGCTTAATGATCCCTCTGAAGAGATATCCTTTAAAGGTATCATATAATTGTTATAGTGCTATAGAATTCCCCCTTCCATGATATTGAAGGTTGTCTTGTTGATGACCATGCTCGATAATCAAGTGATGATTCTACTCTATCTTTACATTTTAAAAAGTTTATTACCTCAAATTTCAGGTGTGGTTTTAAATGAAATGAAGGGGGCTTATTCAAAGCCTAATAATATACTTGGCAGAGTGTGTCAACAAGCAAGCTCCCTTGAAACCCTTTGTGAAATTAACATTAAGATTGCTTTTAGGGATCTGGTTAAATAGAAATGGCATTGGTGGGAAATTCCAATTTACTTAATTCTTTTATGTACAAAAACTGATGGTTTCTTCTAGGTTAGTATTCAGATGTACAAAAACTAATGACAAGGGTCTGGGGTTTGATGCATATCTATTATTTCACAGAATTATTATTTAACAATGAATTTATTTCACAAATTTGATTTGATGTACATTAAATTTCTTATCTGCACCTAAATAGTTGTGGATTTTGGATCTGACCGAATTTTCAGTCTTTTTGGAGTTCGCTAGTCACTGGCCTATTGTATCTTTCAAGTGTTTTATACTAGCCTTCCATTCTAGACTATTCTATATCCAGAATATAGGTTTTTACATGAGCTCAGGATAATATTTTTTTCCATCTTTGAGAATTATAATATGAGGAATGAAACGTTACATATTATTTTTCATTTTTCATTTCTTGCCTAGGTTTTTTATTTCTTGATATCATCTATAATAATGTTTAATGCCCTGTAGGCTCTCTTTCCTAATAATGCATATGGTGTTGACAGTGCTGGTGATCCCAAATTTATTCCCAAATTGACTTTCGAAGAATTCAAGGTCTGTTTTTTTTTGCAAAATTTTAATTTTAAAACATGTGATAATTTTTAATTCGAAGAATATATATTTGTGAACTTAGTAGCCTATTAGGGACCTAAGAGAAAGATGTGACAATACTTTATACTATAGTGCTATTTTATGAATAGTTAAAGTCTAGTTAACTTAGGATTATTGAGTGTGAATGGGATGATAAGAATAAACAGATGGTTCAATCAATCCAAGAATGATTGCTAGAAAAGAAACCCAATTTGAAGAATAGTTTACAAATATTGTCTCCTTTTCATTTTAAAATTTATCATTAAACTTTGATCAATAATTCCACAAAAATGGCAAAAAGTTCTTTGGTAAAAGAAGCTAGAATGAGTTTTACTAAATGATAAATTACTCTCTTCCCATATAAACACAGCAAATATTTCAAAAACTATTTTATTTGAAATGTGATGTAATAATTAGAGTACAAGTCATTATTCCAATGCAGCCATCATATGACTTTTATAGTAAAAATAAAACTACCAATTAGTTCAAATTTTATGGTTTCAAAGAAACCTTTACAGATGTGGAAAGTTATCTTATTAAATTTAATTTATATTATTTATGCTCACCAACAACTAACCATTACTAATATTCAAATAAATATTCATTTAATTTATCATAAATGGGTTACATTTATTAGAAAAATTTTTTATAAGAGAGGACTCAAATGCAATGTAAATCAACTTAGTAGAATGATACAATGGTTTGTGACCTTTGAAGCACCATTGACTCCCCTCTTCCCCCCCCCTTTCTTGTCCCCCAAATAAATATTTTATCCTTGAAAGCTCAATACAAAAGTGATGAAATTTTGGCTGAATTTGGGAAGCCTATATGATGGGTTTATTAACTAGATTTCATGTACATAAACTATGTTTTTTTTGTGGAAATTATTTATGCATTAATAGAATATGGTGATACTGAAAAATTGTCTAAGAATTATATGGAGCACTAGAAGGACATTTAGGGTATGATACCATAACAACTAGTAGAAGAATACTATTTTTCACTTCAATTAGAGAAGGAAGTAGAAGATCATGTACAAAGATGTAAATAGATCAAGTTAATAAAATGCAATGTCTAAACATTACTCTAGATAACAGTACCAATTCCAATTAGGCCTTGGGTTGACATTTAATTTCATATTGAGATTACAACTTACATAGCATTCCAATTAAGCGATGTCTACAACTTCAAAGGATCTCTTTGGACATAGACAACTTGGACATTCACTCGATCTCATTTGGAAGTCTAAAAAATGGTAGTGGAAGTTGAACTAATTAAAAAATTATAAAATAAAGTTCTAGCATTGCAACGATGATGCATCGACAATCCGTCAGAATCCTAAGCATTTGAGAGGATTATTGTGCAGTATCCATTACCTTAAAGGCTCTCCTTAGACAAAGATGACATAGGCAATCTTTAGATCTTCTTACAAGTCTAAAGATTGATAATTATAAATTATTAATTGCATCTATATTTTAATATCTTATATATAGATTGATAATATAATTTAACATGTGTTATCAACTCATTATGATAATTATAATATTTTATCATTTATGTTCTAATATATATTATTTTATTTATTTTATTTATATTATGAGACTAATCCTAGTTGACTTTTATCAAGTCAAGTGGTGATTCTCTCACATTTTCTTATTAATTATTTGATTGGAAGGACTTAAGGTGAGTTCTTAATATGAGTTGAAAGTAATGGAAGAAGCCCAAGCTTTCAGCCTAATGAAAAATCTAAATCTTATGGAAAGAGCCAATCTAACATGTTTATAGGCCCAAGAGAGGGCGTCACCTTGGCCTAACCCATTTGGATTTAAAAGGACTATCAAGAGATGAGATTTAGGCTACCCATCTTAGGGCATCTTAAAATGAGATTAAGAGAAAGATTAGACCACCACCCTCATGAAATGATCTAAACCGTCCATGAAGAGAGTTGGTTATTAATTATAACCATCCATTGGAGGGGCCTAACTCTTGAGAGAATTAAGGCATTTCATCTCCCTCTTAAAGGGTGCTTTTTGGCTCTCTCTCTAGCAGTGGCTAGTCAAAGGAAACAAGAGAGAAATCAAGGCCTGGTTAATGACATTCTCATGCCCAAGATCATCATGGAGAAGAGATTACTTAGAGCTCATCAGGAACATCATAGATCAAGCATCATTCGGCCTAAGATTGATGCACAATGTGGTTTGTGCAATATCTAGATTTGGGGTGTCTTTGTAATCCTCTTCATGGATAGATTAACTTTTAATTCAAACTAATTTTACTATTTATTTTATTATTTCATTGTATTAGATCTATTCTCTCTCTTTGACCCTATTTTTCATGACTCTTGTCTTCACCCTTTTACATTTAGTTCTACCCTTCACAATTATAAATATATGTATATATAAAATAAAATAGGTAGAATTCTTACTCTTATTACCCACATTCTCTGAGGATAGACCCTTAGTTATCCTAAATAAAAGAGTGAGGTTTTATAAATATTATTTGTATGAACTTAATTTCATCACAACGACATATTTAACCTCTAAATCTAGTTCACTAGAGATCAATAAAATAGGTCGTCGAATTGTCTCCAGCAATTGTCACTCGATGTAGATGAGCTGAATGGAAGTGGGGTGTGTCTTAGGGAGTTTCATCCTCAACTCTATGTAGTAAGAGGAGGCTCTTCATTACATTTAATATACTCTCAAGAGGTGACGACTCGTCTCACAGTAAATCATTCTCTTCCTAATGACAGCTTATTTCTCGATCAATTAGAAATGATTTACTCAATGGATTCAAGATACTTTTATTTCAAATTATTTAAAAATTTTAGTAACGATGCTTCACGAATCACGTTGTCAAGATTTTCTCCAATGACTGAATAATTCTGATAACTTAATCCTTCATTGAGGATTTGTAAGAAAGTCGTGATTTAATCATATAAAAATATGAGTTTTAACTCTAGTAGGATTTGAACGCTCACTAATTGCTCGCTTGCATGAGAGAGTGAAATAAATATACAAATTTTCTTATAAAGTGACATCATTAAGGTACTTCCTTGTAATAAATAAGAGGTATTTGAGGTACAAAAATCATAAAAGTATTGAGGGAAGGTGTGACCCAAGTTAAGTCTCACATCCATTATACATAGAATTTTAGGATAAATATATAGTAATATAAGATTTGAGAATAAATAAGTCCCTTTCTCACATGTGTACGACCACTCTTTATCCCATGCTTACTCGTCCATTAGTGACATGCAAAGAGAGTGATGCATACATGCCCCTATCGGTCCATAGCTATTCGAACCCCTACTCGTGGCTCCACCCTAACTGCACTTCCAACCCACTTGCAGGGTTGGTTGGTTGGCAAGTTCCTCCCTTTTTCTATCTTTTTATTTTATTTTATTTTTTCTTTATTTATCTCAAAAATAAGATTATAAAAATTATATTAATTCACATAAAATCACATTAAAAATTATAAGAATGATGTCTCACACCCTCCATGTGTACTTTTCATTTTTATGGCTTTCACATTATTTGTTTACTTTATAATAAGTGTTTTTTTATAGAAAATTTTTGAGAATAAGAATAATGTCTCACATCCTCTATGTGTACTCTTTGTTTTCAAATTTTTGACATTACTCTTTTTTTAAAATAAATTCTAAAATAAATTATTTCTCTTGACTAGCCCTATAGATCAAGGTGTAAAAATCTCTATTAAACTGAAATGATCAATCAAATTTTCACATCAAGTAAATATTATCCACTAAGATCATGAAATAAAAATCTATAAAATTAAATCCATATTATCTATTATGTATCCAAGGAGTATTTCAATATTTTATGCTACTAAATTATTCTTTTAACTCAATAATAATCATCCTAATATCTTTTGATATCAATCAATCTAATTCATTTAATTTTCATGCATGCAATATGATGTAAAAAAAAATTAAATTAGATAGTTTTGATAGTTCTGCTTTTTGTTTTTAGTTCTATTTTTAGCAGCAATGAATTTATCAAAAATAAATCAAAACTATCCTCTTTATAGCTATAATTTCGAATTCAACAAAATATTTCTAGGGGATTGAAATGTGAGAAAAGGGTCTCTAGAATTTTAATTTTTTGGGTTTTTTTGACAATCTGTAAATTATTTTTTACTATTCCTAACAAAAAACTAGAAAACAAATGCTATAGTTTTTTTAAATTTTATTTTTTTTCTAGTTGCTTTTATAAGTGATCATGAAAAAAAATGCAAAAAAAATGTTCTTAATCATCCTACAACATAAATATAGACTTAATACTTAACCTCTCAACTTAAAAATGGCATTGTCCTCAATGACATAGAAAAATCAGAACGAAATATGTAGAAAATATCATTTTCAAGTGAACCATGTATAAATGCAAAGTTAAACACTAAAAATGTTGTCATAAATGATAAAGCTCAAAAAGACATCACCTAAGCCTCATTTTTAATTTTCCACTTCATCTTACACTCCTGCATTTTTTTCTATGGAAGAAAAAAAAAAAAAACATAAGTACAGAAATAAATACTACGAAATTATAAAAAGAAAAAACTTAAGAAAAAATGGAATGAAATAAAAACCATGGGTTGCCTCCCATGCAGCACTGAAATTAATGTCTCTAGTTGAACAGATTAATCTTACTCTTAATTTTTTTTTAATAATATATTTTTTCTGCAAGACATTCATAATCTATGTAATGGTTAAGCCACTATCTATTTACCTTAAAGTTATGATCACTTTTAGGATCTTTAACACCCCCATGATCATATGTCTCTTCCACCACATGAGGTCCTATCTATTTTGATTTTAATTTTTTTGGGAATAATTTCAGCCTAGAACTATATAACCACACTTTTTGGCCAACATCAATTTTTTTTTGCAAATGTATTTATCATGAAAGGTTTTAGTTTTTTCTTTATATTATTCTATGATTTTCATAAGCTTCATTCCTCAACTCCTCTAATTTATGTAGCTGAAAAATTCTATGTTCACTAGTTGATTTTTCATCCATACATAATTTTGTTATAGCCCATAATGTTTTATGTTTTATTTCTACAAGAAGATGACATGATTTTCCAAAAATGAGACAAAATAGGGACATACCTATGGAATTTTTATAACATGTTCTATAAGCCCATAATATATGTTGTAATTTCATTGGCCAGGTTTTCCTATCTGGTCTAACTATTTTTCTCAAAATTCTCTAAACTTTCTATTTGCTACTTCAACTTGCCCATTTGTTTGGGGATGATATGAAGTGCCTATTCTACGGTGTACTTCATTCTTTTTCAATAGTTTCCTTAAATATTTATGTAAATTGTGTTCTTCCATCACTAATAATCACTCTAGGATATCCAAATCTCAAATTTTGAATTTTAAATATTACTTGGGTCTTTTCACGAAAAATTATTCTTTTAATTAGGATTATAAGAATTAGAAGAAAACTCCCTATTTCTATTAGAATGTGGGCTACTTGTACTTACTTTTACATAAGCTGAAATAATTTATCTAAATTATAGTATTGAAATTTAGAATGATCATTTTCACCATATGTAGGACAAGTACTATTTGAATTAAATTGAGAGTTTGGAGGCTTTCTAATATTATCAATAAAGAAATCAAGTTTTTCTAAACTTTGATTAATCTAAATAACATCATTTCTTAAATTAAAATAATCTTGATGATGTAATTCATAAATCTTCTCTTCTTATCCATATTATATAACTCAAAAGAGGCTTGATCTCTAGAATTTTCACTTAAATTCTCGTACAGGCTATAAATCTCACCAAGGATTTTAATTATAAAAACTACTTCACATATAGAAGCAACTATATTTTATGTTATTTTAATAATCTATCATAAACAAATTTAATATTTTGAGTTACTGCTTGGGTATAATGTTGAATTTTCCATATATGTTTTCTCATATTTTGAGTTTTTTTTAAGAGATAAATTTTTGAAGAAAGACCTATTTTATATCTTTTTAATTAGTTAATTCTCTATCTAATGCGAATAACTAATAACTAGCCTTGTCTCTAAGTGTATGAGAAAATAATTTCATCTTAATAATTTCTCGGATAACTTGAGACAGATTAACTAAATCACAAACCATATGAATTTTTTTTAAATGTTGAGGAAATTCCTTTTAAGGTAATCTATGAAAATTAGAGAGCATTTAGAAAAATTTTGAATTTATTTCGAATTTAACTATGGGTTCTAATGGGAGTCTAATATTAGATGTTCATTGAAATGAATTACGTATATAATGATTTTTCATGGCCATAAGGTTGTTCTCAATTTGACCTAACTTCCTTTAGGCTCCATCAAAATTAATTTTTCTTTCAAAATTTTAGTTTTAGATGAAATAGTGAAAGAATTTTTTAACCTTGGGTGTAAGGATCTTCTATTACATATAAAAATTAATAAATTCGAGAACTGTTTTTAATAACTATTGCCCTCCTTTAGTCTGCTTCAATCCTTGCCTTGCTACCTTTCATTCTCTTTTTTCTTTTTTTTAATTTTTCTACAAGAAAAAAAAACAAGAGTGAAATATTTTTGGTATACTCTAAGAGAAAAATAGAAAAATACCAAATATTATATAATACATCCCAAACAATATCATCAAAATTTGATGTGATTTTTCTTTTGTTATATAATAAATCACATAAATTTAAAATTTATAAAACTAGAAAATACTAATTTTTGAAAATTTGAAAATATTTATAAATAAATAAATAAATTATAATTCAAAAAAAGGTTCTAAAAAATAGTGAGAAATTTATAAGTTGAGCACAGGGATGTAAGTTATGATTTTTAGAGTAAATAATGACTACAAAATATATTTAAAAATTAACTAAAAAGAGAAATAAGGGTGTAGATGTCAAGATGACATTAGTGCCTTGTGTAATACGATTTGGGTGAAAATAAGGTTCCACTCATTAATTCTTACATAAGCGATTACAAATGATTTAATAGGTTAAATTAAGATTTTTGAAAAACCAAAAGAATCATAATTGAATGAAGAAGATATTAAAAACTTTAAATCATAAAACATATTGCTAAATTAAGTTAAAGTTAAGTTTAAAGTAGAGAAGACTGAGTTCCAACCTCGCGATAACAATTGCTGAAATTTTGTATGTTCAAGAGGATCATCAACCAATGTCTATTGCCCCAAAAAATTCTCCTTGGACATAGATGACCTAGGCATTCACTAGATCTTCTTTCAAAGTTCAAAAAATGATAATAAAAGTTAAATTAGTTAAAAATGATAAAATAGAGTTCTAATGTCATAATAGTGATACATCAACAATGGATCGAAATCCTGAGCTTTAGAAGGATTGTTGTGCAATGTTTATAGTTTGAAAGGCTCTCCTTAGATAAGGACAACATGAATAATTTCTTAATCTTCTTACAAAATCTAGAAATCAATGAAGTGAGTCATTGAATCATCTCTAATGGGTGTCACCCAATGGAGCAAAAAAATGATGATTTTATAGCTCTCTGGCAGCTATCATTCAATGAAGATGAGTTGGATGAAGGTGCAACATGTTTTAGGGAGCTTCATCTTGAAGTCCACACAACAAGAGGAGGCTCTTCTAAATATTTGGTATGCTCTCAAGAGGTGACGACTCATTCGCTAACAAATCATCTTCTTCTCAATGTCGGCTTGTTTGTTGATCAATCATAGATAATTTACTAATTGAATTTGTGATCTTTTTATC